TAACCATATTCTGTTAAAGAAATTTTGTTATCTAATAAATGGTTTCTTATTATTGCTTATATAAGACACTATCATACTTTGGTAAACAAAATTCTGGAATACTTTGAATGCATATACTTTTAGCTTTTAGAGTTTCGATTGATTAAATCACCATAAACTGTAGTAAAATTACGCTTAATGAAAGTATTCTAAAGAGTCTAAACATCCGATCAAAGTAAAGTAAAAATTACTGATGAATCATCATCGGTCCAAGCATATTAATTTTTGCTTTACTTATCGTGGATCTATTCGTTCTACGGAAATAAGGCTGCAAGTAGGAACTAATGAAAAAAAAAATGGCGACAGGTGTAACAAATGGAATGTTAAATTTATAATTATGAAAGGCTACATGTTCTAATGTTCGGAGATTCTAATATTACGTGTTTGAAAGTTCTAGAACTTAGTGGATACACATTTCCATACGGAGCATAGATCTTCTAGATGTCACTTAATGAAATGTGTATCGGTTGCTGTGAAACTTGATGCAGCAAAGGCAAACTCCCAAGCTGGAATCAATGACCATTCAAAAGTAGTTACAGTTTCGTTAGATTCCGTGTCAACAGAACAACGAATAGCGAGATGGGTGACTGTATTGCCTAATATTACTCGTGCTTCAGCGACAAAACATTTCCAAACATTTCTGCAACTTTACTATCTAAGATCATAAAACATATGGGTCGGTCTGCTCCAGCTCTGTATACTGAACAACTACGTTGTTTCAGGTGAAATAAAAATATATTTGCTGTAGTACAATATGTTAAACGTGTTTTTTTAGTTAGCACTAAAATAATTAAAAGATTATAATTTAAAAATATCTCGATGTTCTTTAGAATCTATTACAAAGTGCAATTTTAAATAATCTTTAAAATGCAATAATGAGTTAAGTGGACTTTATTTAAGATTATAAGCTGGAGTGATTAACCCTGTATACATATATGAAACACAATCATTTGAACGTGTCACATTTGATCCAACATCTCAGTTCAGCAGGCGCTTTTTATTCGCATTTTTCATTGCTTTCGTGAAACGTTTCTTTCATTTGCCTAGTACTATCTCTGGTAAAAAGTGTTTAATAAAAATACTAGCATAAAAATGCAAAGATATTCACATTTTACTTATTAGTGAAGCTGTACTATTCTATTTCGTTCACTATTAATGAAAACATACTCTACGTTTAAAACTAAACGAATATTTAGCTTGTTAAAATAAACACATTTTGCCAGGAGTAATGTTATGTATATTATTACTATATGCGTAGATTATATTTGCGAATATGATTGTGTATATCATTGTTGGATTATCTTTACTGCGACCATCCTTCTATCATTGCTTATTCATTACCAGTTCATTTATTCACGCTTCTTTGCTATCGAAGAGATCTCCCCTGCGTTTTGTTAACTGTAAGACTTTGTTGCCTCTTTTCTAGCAAAGGTACAAAACTTTATCTACGCGTACGCCCAACAGCAAATGCAGCTCTTAAAGACGGGTCTGTGACTCGTGCATATTATATTTTAATTGTCCAGATTTGTATGTAGCATCCATACGCCCTTATCGAATATTCAGCCAAATAGTATTATAGCACTGGTTTAGAACAGCATTGAAAGATATATTTTCAGACGTAGAAATGTTCTCCTTGCAATCAGCATGGTCCACTTAATTAATTATTAAGTCAACAGAAACAGAAATATTCATTGCAGAGTGTATTCAAGAATTGTAACGATTGTCATATTATCTTCGAATTCAAATGACAATCGTTAGAATTCTACATTCTGCAATGAATATTTATGTTTTGTTTATTTATATTTTCGAATTAAAGTTTGTCACGTCATAATGAACGTAATTGATTTTTTAAGTTTTATTCAAAATTCGGAAAAAGATGTTTTCGTGATAAAATGAATAAAATTTGAATGGGCCACACTGTTTTTCCTAGTGGAAATCTTTCATAATTTTCGCTGAATACATTAGCCAAGATTTACAAAGAGGCTAGAGCATCATTATCTTTGTTTGAGTAATGAAAACTAGTTGAACAGCCAGCTGAAAGAATTTAAGTACACAGAACCTGTATTTTCACATAAGCTCGAAACAGGCAAAAGTACTATAGAGAAATATTGAGTTTGTTGTAATTAGAAAGTAAGCAGTAGTAGCATATTAAGTTATGCATCCACCAAACGAACATTCAAAAACATGTAGGAAAGCAAATAATAATAACCATCGAGTTGTTCCCTTGGTAGATACATGGCTATACATTATACTGCTCTATGCCTCATCAAAGAGTACAGAAAAGTTACACTACCACTATACATATAGTGTTTAAACCGAGGGTTGGAAAGTGTTCATATCTCCACGTTAAATTCTCTCCTCCATATCAGCTTAAAATGTTTTAGGAAGTTCTTCATTTTTATTTGATTACTTTCGTAAATCAATCTAAAAAAATTATATTTGTATACAGGGTGGTCTACGCAATTGTTTCAGATCATAACTCCGTTATTATAATGTATTTATGAAAAAATGTCAGATGAAGAACATAAATTGAAGAGCATTACATATCTGTAGATCTTTATAAGGATTAATAATGGAGTTATGACCTGAAACAATTGCGTAGATCATCCTGTATATACACCTGTTCACGACAGTTTTAATAACATTTATGTAATTGATACGAATGATGATAATTTTCAGAATCGTTTCAACCCTTGGATTAAATATAAATACTAACACATGTATTCCCAACAACTTCAGTATACGTGAGTGCGTTACAATTTTAATTTAACGTTCGTTTTGTTTGCCAATTTTTCAGCTAAACTGGAGCAGTGAAGTTCGGTATATGCCGCTCAGCACAACACACGTTTAAACAAAGAAATGTTTCGTCGCTCTGCGTGGTTAAAGCAACGTTAACATAACAAATTAGGAAACACACGATACACGGCCAACGATGGTGTTTCGCTGAATAAGAAAAAAAAAATAAAAAAAAAAAATAAAAAAGAACATGAAAATCGAAGGACGACCCTTGCTAAAACCAAGTCGTTTCACGAAACGCCTACATCTCGACTACTATCAGCCACGGGATAATAGAAAGAAAGAAAAGAAAAATATAGAGAAATATATTTAAAGAATCAGCTGTCTGTATGTGTTAAAACACACTTCACACGCGTGTAGGCCATTCTCGAAGTCTAATTCGCATTTTTAGTTCTTCAAGGAATTTTTGGACACCTTGCAATATATCGCTAGTTGAGGAAAGTGACACACACTCGGTATGTCCCATGTTAGCGTGATCGAGAGTCCGCACTCACTCGAATCGATCGTCAAAATGTTTATTCTGCACATTAGGAGTTTCCTCTTTTTTTCGGGCCTTATCATTGTACACGTGTGACTCGATTGGAATGTACCACTATTATTTTTATGTTTAATACGATACCATACGATATACACTAATTATAACGTTTTAATCGAAAAACAATAACGGATTTGAATGCAAGGTTGCCGTGAATATGCATTCTGCAAAGCTGAACTGAAAGTTAGTCTTCCCATGACTCTTCCTATTGGAAGCTCACAGTAACAGGAAAAACTATTTATACACTCCTATTTTTGTTTCCAATTGACAACACTAATATTTTTACGGAAACATTTAAGATACAAAATTATTTTTAGTACACTGTTTTTGCATAGGATGGTAAATTTTTGCTGAACAGGCTATACAAATAATTTTTACCTTATTGCGCTGAAAATATGTAACATGCAAGGAAATTTTTCTTTCACTGTGAATACTCTGCTCAAAATGGGGGACAAAATCTAAGTAATATTAAATACTCCTATTAAGCCATTAAATTATGCCAGTGATCCTCCACTTCGACCAGTGTATCAACTATAATATTATGGAAGGAGAAATGTTAAACTTTTTTTTCGAAGTTAGCTGCTTTCAGAACTGTATTAGCTCCGTTAAAATATGAAAATTATTTTAGCAACCCAAATTATTTTGGCTGCTAAACGTTCGATTGCTATTAGAACGATTTTTACGAATAGTATCGTTTTGACACACTTATTACGCATATACTTAATATTTTTTACACGTGAAGTTGATATATTCAATACTTCCATTTCTTTTATACAGAGACACAGAAATAGTTATGTTTCCACGGCAACCTGAAACATAATAACCGTTTGTAATGAGAATGCGATCTTCTAATTTTCAACCTGTACTCATTCCATCTCACTTCAGCGAAAAATAAGTTGAACCAGCGTTGTTTTCATTTCCACGCGATTCGTTCTACATGGTCTATTGTACTCTGATTTCGCGTGTTCCTGCAAACGGTTTGCGTTTGCGTTTCGATGACTGCCATATATGTTCATAAGAAGCACACTAACTTGGGACATGATATATAAATATATAAATAAATATATAAATATTATATATATATATATAAATATGAATTAGCTTTTAACAAATTGTTAAATATATGCTGCGCCCTAAGGGAAAAACGCATTGGAGAATTATAAAGAATGGAAGACACTGTGTAATAATTACAAGAACATCCTCTTACACAATCCCGAAAAAATTACACAACATTCTATGGAATTAAAAAAAAAACTGCGAGAGTGACGTTTCAATTGTTCTTTAGATTTCTCTGTGTACGGCGCAGTTATTATCAAGCGTGCGCGCGCGCGTGTGGCTTTCTGTGCTCTCGACGAGCAGTAGACTATAATTGATTCCACTTGATGCGTCTCGCTTGGTACTGACTTAACCGTTCTCGTTACGACTCGCGCGATTGTTATCTTCTTTTTTGTCTTTTAAATATTTATCAAATTCGTTTCTCTTTTTTTTTGTTTTACGTAGCATGTAAGAGCTGGATCTACAGCGAAGTTTTGAGAAGAATTGCATTTCCCCAGCAAAGACTTTTTAATGATTAACTCTCGATGAAAGCTCGTTCCCGTTCTACTGCTCCATCTCAATGCGACTCGAGTAACTTGTCGACTTGTTCCATGTCTTGGAATGCATCTTCATTTCTCTTTTTTTTTTATAGTCGATAATACTTAGGTTGCGGATCTTTATGCATTTATAACAAAAATTGTTCAGTCTCTAAAGTAGAATTTTCATGAATTGTGTGTTTCTTTTAAAACTGAAAAAAAATGACAGCTACGAATGTAAACAAATATTAGCTTAATTCAGATTCTACAGATTAATTCGTAATAGTCTGCAACTTGCATAAAAATCCGCAATTTAGTTACTAATGGATCCCTTCAACGAACATTTCGAGAATACAACTTTATAATAGAGTACCTCATGTTTTTTAACCATTGATCGTGCGTGCTTCACTGATTTGTACATACTTTATAACCACGAGTTAAAACAGTATGCCTAGAGATAGAGGACGACGAAAAAACTGGAAAGAATGGCAACAACAATCTCTAATCAAAAATTGTCTTAACACGTTCGCTTTTGTCTTAATTTAATGCATGTGCATTTAGTGGATATTTTTTTTTTAATATTTCGGAGTCGCATTGCTACACTACACAACTTGATATTTCATAGCTATGTGTTTTATATATAAATATATATAAATATAAATAATGAAGATCAGTAAATTATAAGAAATAAAAACTATTATAATAGATAATATATGATGATTGTGAAACCAGCCGATGGTACTTCGTGTACGGAATAATCCCTTCCGCAACTCCTACAAAAAATATTTAACATTACAGCGTTTTCGATAATAATAGACTTTTTCAAAATAGTCTTAGTGTCGTTTTTTTTTAAATATATTTTCATCATACGCTCTGTTTTATACGTGATGCAATACGAGATAAACCTGCCCGTGTCGCCAGGAAATGAAACCCATTATCTAATGTAGTTTTATTGTTACGTTCAAGAGCCGCCATTAAAGTACTTACTCCCCCAACGGTGATCTTCAATTTTATCACGAAGATTCTTTTGTATTGGCTGCTACGTCGATAATTATATATCCAATGATACTGTGACACATGCTATTTCTGAGTTGCTTTGTAACAAATACAATTTAGAAATATTACAATAAATGTCGATATTATTTCAATGTTATTTATATCGAAAGTTTTACAGGTCTTCAGATCTAGTTTCAGCGCATATAGCGTGCATTATTCTGAGAAATATTTTCTAATTTTATAGTTTAAATTTAGATACTACGTTTCTGAGCCTAATGCATCTAATGACAAGAGACAATAGAAAATTTCAATATTCTACAAGCTAACAGAAAACATTGAAATTACATGAGTTTACCAAAAATTAAGTTTTTTAGAAATATCATTTAATATCTGAGAATTTTAGGAAATCTTTTAAGCTCTGTTCACAATGTACACGTCCAGTCCACTCTTTCAACCCAAGAATCATCGGGCAAGATGAAAACATTCTCTTATGATGTGAAATTCAGTGACAGATGATATATATGTGAACGGTTGGTATACGTGTAGACTGCGTAGTATGTATGTACAGAATATTCGGTAAAATATGGTTGGACGTGGTGGTTTTAATTTTTTTAGAAATTATGAAAAAGTAGGTCATTACGAATTGTGGTGTTATCTACAAAAAAAAAAAAAATAGGCAAGGCAGTGGCCAATTCATATACACATGTCTTCGTGTGTAATAAATTTACACTATCTGGCCGTGGCCGAAAGTTACATAAGAATTCTTTTTTTTTTCTTCTATTTGTCGTGTACAAAATCAATTCAAATGGAGTTAGAAACATCGTAGTCAACAGTTCTTCAGTTCATTTAAGCAACTCTAACATAATGTCTGAGGTACGTATTTTCTTGTTACACATAACAAAATGAATAATCAAAATACATTTCGTGCATTAGCTTAGAATGGCTTAGATTTTAAGCTTCCGCGCGGTAACAGCTCATTATAATAGCTCCCTTCCCCACCACTACATAATTTTCCATCTTTTTTACACTACTGGAAGTATAATAGATAAAAAAGGCCCAGTTACAGGATACGAACACGCTACTCTTATCGAATGCCATTCATGTTGTGTGAAACGAAATAAATAATTGCTAAGCTCAACCGTTTATACTAGTAACAAATTATATTTAAATACTTGTAATTCAAGACTTATCTTTATTAAAGTATTTTCAACGCGTCTTTAGTGAAGTTCTCTGTAATAAAATATAAAATCGTAAATTGTTTACTTCATTCGCATCAACTACAGCTACAATAATAATATAAAATTCAGTATAAAATACATAAGTTTTGTATTATAGGTGTTATGTAATTTGGTATCTCATTTCTGTATGTATTGTATGTACCTTAAAAGTAAATAAAGAATGTTTATTAAAGAAAATGCTATCCTCTCCGTCTAATAAACATGTCGTAAGTAAAAAAGTACTTCTAATCATATGAAAACAACATCGTATATGAGAAGATATAAGTAAATGACAAGTAAGTGNAATTCAGTATAAAATACATAAGTTTTGTATTATAGGTGTTATGTAATTTGGTATCTCATTTCTGTATGTATTGTATGTACCTTAAAAGTAAATAAAGAATGTTTATTAAAGAAAATGCTATCCTCTCCGTCTAATAAACATGTCGTAAGNTAGAAATATAATATATAAGAAAAATCATAAATGTGGAAAAACAGTGATTTTTGCAGCTAGAACGTGGCTGGGAAATGACTTGTACACGTCGGCTCTTAAAACTTTTAATGACAGGTAGATCTACACAAATAGCCACGTATAGTTTTATATGTACGCTTCGACTTTTACTACAGAAGTACATACTCGGAACTGACTAAGCATGGAAGAGAAAACAATGGATGAACTTCCACGACCAAAGAGAAACACGAAAAACTTGGCACTAGAGATAAGAATTAAGAGTAGCGTGAGATCGGCCGGTGGCAGTTCTCGCATATGTAAGTACCGGGACGGATATATCGGCCCACAGGCAGTAAAAGGGTTAAGATATTCCATGAAATTTTCACATTTCCGGCTCGTATTCGAATAACATCGTCCCTTAAATGGAAAGTCGATTCTTCGACTGTATATTGATTGAACAAAAAAAAATTAGTTTGGTCGATAAAGATTTAGGCACACAACAAATCAGATCCGGAAGTCCTATTAGAAGGGTCTATGAGAAAAATGAAATAGAAGCTATTATGCCATATATATATGATGAACTAAAAATCTGAAAAATTCTAGAAAGACCCAGAGGCACGCAAGGTAAAACACAAAAGAAGTAGGAGTACTATACTAGGTTTAAGAAATACAGGGTATTTTCACTACGTGAAAAAAATAAGAAAAAAGTTTGGTATCACCTTTTTTCAGCCGTGGCTTTGTTTTCAAGAAAATGGACTTTAAAGTTTGTACATCTTTGTGAAGAATTTAGTTGTGGTCTATTCTCCTACCGCAGTTGCCTCCGAGATAGTGTTTACAAATATTAATTGTTGCGAACTATGAACTGTGCTCGGTTTTACTACGGATTCTGATCCACCCTGTATATGTAGTATAATTACAGAGAAAGATAGAGGGGGGCAGGTTTATGTATAATCTAAATAGGCTTTAGCCTAGGGCAGCCGATTTTAGGGATTTAGGGATTTTTCACGAGAATTCCTAGGTTTAGGTTTTTCTATACACAGTAAAAAATCATACGACCTTAATATTATATTAATAC